TAATAATAATAATAATAATAATAATAATAATAATAACAATAATAATAATAATAATAATAATAATAATAATAATAAATTATTATTTCCATTTATACAGTGCTTTTCATTCCAAAGAAGTTTACACACAGAAGACTCATTGATGATCTTTAATAGCAAAATAGCGAAGACCTTGTTTCAACATGAAATCTGAAGAGCCAAGCCTCCAGCAGCCCCAGTGACTGAACGTGGGCGATGGGCAGGCCACAGCGAGATCCCTAAATCAGTCAGCCTCCCGACCGGCTCCAAATTCCCAGCCTTAAGAGAATAATTACGGAAGTCCGACAAAAAAAAAAAAGGTTTTAGTATTGGAAGAGAATTCAAAACCCAACGTGTTCTTCGCCGGAGGTTCTAGCCTTAGCTTCTGAAGCCCTGCTAGTTGATCAATGAGTGGAGGCAGGGAGAAAAAAAAGTGAACCAGAATAAAAAATGTATTAGAAAAACCCCCCATGACAGGTCCCAGACAGTGGGGTGCATGAAGGTTACCTGAACTAGAAAGGAATATACAGTCTTATCAAGGAGAGAGTCAGATCTGACTATGGTGGGCATTAACACAGGTGAAAACTGAATTGGAGAAATGGCTGAGATTAATGCAGTCAAATAAAAATGGCTCAGACGGCACTAATAGCCTACAGATTACATGTATTTTAAACCTAGCTAGCAATTACAATCTATTCTTATTCTTTAATTATTATGATTACTAAAATCAGAGAAAAGGAAATAAAGGACATGGATTTCCTGCCCCTCGAAGCACACTTTGTGACACAAAAAAGTCTTAAGCTTTGTTATCGTCACGTGAAATGTTTAATAAAGAAATCCATAGCAGCAGACGAACATGTGAAGTGGGACACAGTCCATCTCCCTTTCTGCCAGCAGGCTCATTCATCTTGTCCATGAGGGAGCGTTCCTTGGTCTTAAATTGGTTTTGGAAAGGATTGTATTTATACTATAAAAGGACGAGATTTGAAATATTACTATCTTTAAATATTATTAAGGTTTACATGTAGACATCTGATTACTACTTACCTTTGCATAATGTATTCTAAGCTAGAACATAACAATTCAACAGCAGTCAATAATAAAAATCCAGCCAGGAGCAAAACACTATTTCCATCACCTCGGCACAAAGAAAGAGCTGCAGTTCAAAACTACTTTTCACAGTGTCCTTATCCCCGGTGCTCCTGCCGCAGATGAAAGAAACAGAGCCGTGAACTGCAGCCAGTGATGAAACAGAGAGACACACACAGAGAAGGAGCTGCTCTTTTTGTATTGAATAAAATACCCATCACACAGATAGAAGAGCAACCAAAATACAACTCGGCGCAGGAACATCGAGTTCAAGGTCCACCTTTTGAAAGACCTCGCGAATATAAAACACAAGACTTGTGAGAAACCACGAGGGGGTCATTCAGAGGCCACTCCTAGACTCATCCAGGAGTTCACTACTGTTGAAAGAAATCTACAGCACTAGGAAATAAAAGGGCTACGTTAAACATGATCCATCTTCCTGTTGTTGCATTTTTTTATGCATACTCATGTCCTGTGCCATTCTGGTTTTCTTCCCAGACTCCTGTTTTCTTGATAGCAGTTCCAGCACAATACACAGCAGCACATGAAAAGTTTTTCAGGGCTGCCTGTAATAAACTGAAATGGGGAGGCCTGGGCTGAGGCACTGTGCTCAATCCTTTGGGAATACCTACGAACCCCCAAAGTACTTCCAGACCATCCAGGACTCTTTCTGAGCAGTTAGGCAACAATAGTACTGAATATCAAAACATCATTTCTGACACCCAACGTTCGCACCGGAGATAAGATGGGTGAATGAAGGTCTGACTTTACATACCAACTCTCTCTCTTTATAACCCCCAAATACAGGCATTCACGTGGACACACACTTCATTTACCCTTTCAAAAATACAGTATTTCATCCATCAAGATTTAAAGACACTTAAATATGGCTAACAATTCGAACAGGCATAAGACCACCTCTTTCATACTCCATGGAATCTCAAGGTTGGAAGTCAAAAGCTCAGATTTCATGTTCTCTTTTTTCTCAGTAAAGACCATACCAACAGAAAGCACTTAATATTCCAGTTACAGTCATGATTCAGAAATCGGAAATCTGGCACAGGCTGCTGCAACCTTGAATGAAATGTCCGCAAGAGTGCTCACTGAGGAATACGGAGAGCCGGTTTAGCAACAACTGGATGAGCTGTTGTAAGGAAGGAGATGGCATAGCTCTGTGAGACATTTGCATCTTTGGCTCTGCTCTGCCCATCACAAGGGATACACTTTCAACAATTTATGTGCATATTGAGTGATCACAGGTGTTGTCAGCGGCTGGAGAAAACAGAGCCGAGGTCATGAAATAAAGGGCAAAACTAAATAAGGCAAGTGAAACAACAGACTGGTGTTCAAATATAAGGCAAATGAGAGTAGTTTTTTATTTACAGACAAAAAACATAGAGAGAGATGTCAATCAAAGGCCCTCTGAAAGACAGCTTTATTCACAGGATGTCAAAAAAATGAAGTGTGGAGGCTTTTCAGCTCGGTGACTCCTGTTCCTGCTCCTTCCAGCCAGCAGAGTAAGGCTAAGATGCTCCAAAATGCACCAGGAATGGGCACAGGAACATATTCCTCTCATCTACCACTCTTTGTGTAAAGACATTAATCTTTTCTCCAGGTTGCAAGTTTCTGCCAATTTACCAGTTTAAGACTCTTTATAAAACCCCCAAACTCTCTTCTATTATCCATTATTAAATTTTGTCTTGTGTGTTCCTCCTACACTGACTTTAAGAGTTGCTCTTTCTAGGATTTGGTGTTTCCTGAATTGCATAGGTGTCCACCATAAGGACCATGAAGGTTCTTAACTATGTGCACTTGCATGTGTATTCATTTTACTGCGACCCTCACCAGGAAAAGCGGAGTGTTAACGGATGGATGGATGGTGTATTCATTTTGTGTTACATATTCCAGTTTTAATAATGACATTTCTTTTATTTTATATCAAGCTTAGCTTCGTTCCATGACTTTAACATGGCAGGCAAATAGTTCCTTTCTCAGTTCAGACCCTTTCAACACCACTAGGGACTTAAAAATGATGAATAATGAGAGGAGGCCATTTGGTCCATCTTGTTCGGTAGTTAGTAGTTAATTACTAAGAGTTAAGCAGGATCCAACTGTTTCTTTGATAGGACAGCAGTGTCAACAAAATGGCTGGTTAGCTAGTTGCACAGTCCCACAATACTTTGTGTAAAGAAGGGCCTCCTGTTCCCATCCACATAAATATGTGATGGAGTCTTTTTGAAAGAAAATAAATGACTTTGGTGTAAGTTCAACCCATTCAAATGTGTGCAGAATGCACTGACACTTTTTTAATTTGCTGTGGTATCTTATTGCATATGTTTAGCTATGAAAGCTGAAAGAAAAAAGTAAACCCATTGGAGACTGAAGGACTTAAGTACTAGAACTGGTGAAAGATTTTCACCAATGCTTGTGCACATGGCTACAATGCTTTAAGGCAAAACCATCTTACCTCCTGCATCCACTCCAAAATGGATTTGCCGGCTTCCTGGTGCCAGAGATTGTGGACGGAGTCTGTCATTGCTACTGCACACACTCTGTTCTTCACCTCCGCCTCTCGCTGAATCATCTAAGAGACAGGAAGACAACAGGGAGCAACAGAGTTTTATGCCTGCTCATGCTGTTTCACACCGCCCCAAGAAGACGAAAGCTAAAGCACACATGCACAGCGCCACATGAAGGTGGCAAACAAATTTGCAAACCACGGAGGTAAAATAAAGAGGAATAAAAGGAAAATTGCACTCCTGAAAAGTCTCCACTGACTGGAAGCTAAGCCACACAGGTCAGCATTAGGCATAGGGACTTCCTGGAAATAAAGCAGGGGTACAGCTCCATCGCCCCTCTGCGTCCTTCCCTGACCGGCTCTTCTGCGGTTTCAAAATGCTATGAGGCCTCTGAGGACTGACACGCTCTTTTACACAGAAATACGTGTTCTGTCTTCATGTCATGAAACGGTCCTTCCAGCTGCATGTGAACGTCTTGGAAGCTCGAGAGGTTTCTCCTGCATGCAGTTCTGAAATTTACTTCCCCTCTGCCGTCAGTGTGTCCAATGGAAACCTTCTGTAAACGTACAGGCGCAGAGCAGCGTGTTCTCAGTAACAGCACACTTGCAGGTCGAGAGAATGTAATTGCATCCTAAACCATTAAATTTGCATTAGTCTGTTCTCTCTACCTTTTTAAGTAACAATAAACACATAATAAACAACTTGACGCCATCTCACAAAAAATGGAATTAAACCTATGGAATTCAACCACGGCATGTATTTGTAAAGAGCTACAGGAATAAAGTAAGACAATGTAAGGTCAACAGTTTGGATGCTATACAATTCATTGGTTTTACAGCACATCAAAGTGTCTGGGAGTATCTGAATACAGCATACATACCCAGTTAAATTAAAATGGGAGTGTGCAGAGATAAAAGGAATCTATTATGATACCAAGAACTAATGCATCATCCTTCTGATAAGCCTATCACAGCTGCATGGCCAGTGTGCAGACAGAGAACAACATTCCCACCAGCCCAGGCCAAGAGAGTTAAATCTCCTGCAAGAGACATGAAACACAGGCAAATCAAACTCATTTGAACACTGAATGTATTTCTAAAAGGAATTTCCTCTAATTATTCAAAAAAAAAAACAGAGATCTAGATATCATTTTGTCAAAACTCTCAGCATCTTGCAGCATCTTTAAGGTCAAATAAGTAACAGCTGAAGTTAAATTGCAGGCAATTCCGACAGCGTCATAGACAAACTTGTCCTGATGTGCTGCTTCCAGAAATTGAACATTAACTATTATCTATCAGGGGAGGTACCCGGGGATGGAAGAATAGCTGATGTAGAGCACAATCAGAAGGATGAGAAAACCCGACCAAGTCATTAAAGATCAATATGCCTGACTTCTGTTGCATGTAAGAACACAGAAACAATTATTGGGTCTAACTCATAATAATTAGAACTAATTGTTAGAACTTTGGAAGGTTTTAATTTGCTATTTGTTTGGCATTTTTTTAAACCCATCCAGGTAATGCTTTAGCAGTACATGCTTCAGGGATCAGAAGAAACAGTGATGGCGAACACGTGCCACACACTGTACACAATCAAACGCCACCTGTCTGGATTAATCAACTTGATGCCAGTGGGACAACTAAAACTTGGGTGCATCTCCATTTCCTTGAAGCAGTGGTGAATTCAGCATTAAGAAAAAAGAACAAATACTTCAGGGGCCATTTCACTGCTGTCAAACTGTAAATCCTAGCCGACATTAGAGTGCTGCCATATTTAACGCCAGGAGAAGAGACTGAGATGTTTCCAGTAATGCAAAGAATAAAAGCTTCAAAAATGCTCCTCAGCTCAAAAACCAGTACTAGTGTTTGTGCTTCAGAGCGTCACTGTGTCTTTACACACAGTGTATATCTCTAGAGCCTGGTATTAACATACATACTCTACTGCATCACTCAGGATTAAACCTGAGAAGCACCAAAAAAAGGACAAACATTTTCAAAAGTAATTGCAATTGTTCATTTTTCTCTCAAATCTCTATTTAAAGAGCTGGATCAGCCACCCAGTGCTCGAGCTGAGACTGCACTTACCCCTCAATCTGGAGGCGAAACAGGACAGCTGTTTTTATCAGCGTTCTAATATAAAAACATGTGCAAATACTTGTTGCACAAACCAATGGAGACAGATGTTGAAACATTTGCTATCTAGCTTGGGCCTTTCATGTTAAGCTTCAGCATCTGTATACAGTAACAAGGCAAGGACAGTTTGCTGGGGAGAAAAGTAACAGAGATATCTGACTGCACTAAAGAGCCATCAGAGAGGTGAAGCTGCCCGCTTATCTATGGCAGTGCCAATGATGTGTGGTGCCAAGAAGAGTTGGCACAGCCATAATGAAACACACTGCCTCACACAGCAGTCAAAAATTAATACTGATGTTAATTTATTTTATTATTTTGCACAGTGTATCATGTGATATTTAAATTATCCCACTTTGACCCAGTTATCTGTAAGATAAAATGCTTTTATATACAGTATGTACTGTATGGACAGGACTTTGGACTCCAACACAGTCTTTGTCCATATCACACGCACAATATCACACTCTTCAGCAACACCCCAGACGTGACAGTGTGCACAGAAGGGTCACCACCTCTTGAGAAGACTGTCACATTTAAATTGAGTCACACTGGTGACTTACTGTGAATGCTACACAATCGAGAAATGACATTCAAAAAATAAGAAGGACAAAGATTTCTGTGGAGACTGCTCTCCAGATGTCTTCATGAGATTGGTATGAGGTCTAGATTCTCCACGCAGCAACAAGACCTGTGCTGGCACTGCAATCAGCACCATGATTAATTTATGTTAATGTTAATACCAATTTAAATATAATACATCTGGTATTATCAAGAGTGGTAACATTTTGTTGAGCAGGAAGCACCTTTTGGTGTAAAATATAGACCATAAAAGTTAAAGTAAGTAAATCTGCCATAGCACACAAATACACAAAAGAGTCCTATTAACTATGTCGGTATCATTATAGGACCTTTGCACATAAAAACATACATCTGTTCTGCGATACCAGTTGTGTCCTTACATGGAGTTGCACTATTTTGATCTATCACTCCTCCTGGCCACACCTCCAGCCCAGAGAGAAAGCAAGCCATTTTGGACATCACTCATTCCTAATACACAAACGACTGTACTGTGATATGGGCATAAAGTGTGTTTCTGAACATAAATTCACACAGAACACTTAGATGCATACATACATTACCACACTCGGAGAGACAGATGTACAAAACACATCCACTCTGTTACAAACACTGCACTTTCGCAGAGGAGAGGTTAGTCAGAGTAAATAATTAAGTCTGGAAGCAGTATGTCCATTGACCCTTTAAAGGTCAATGCAGGTTACAAGGCTGTGCGCAGACAATGATACACACAGTCTTTGACAGGCTTGCAGGCAGTAAATAAGAGGGCAATGCAAAATAAAATGCAAACATGTCCAACTCCAACAATCACAACCTGTGGGAGGTTGTCGTTATTAATGCTACAGCAGGCTCGTGTTTTGAGAGAGAATTTCTGCGTGTGTATGAGACACAACTATGGGTTACACCTGAATTGCAACACGAAAACTGAATCTGGTTCCTTGGTCACCCTAACCACAGTGAATATTTCCCCTAATATGCAACTGATCGGAGTTATCAAGTAACTAAGCATGCAAATTCTGGGGGCAACCAGCATCCCACACTCACATTCCTTGTGTTCTGAATTGCATTGTGGGTAAACAGGTGTTTCGCTGATGATGTCATCAACAGCCTCAGCCCCACCAGACAGCTGGGGCCATATGATCGTATCTCACGTCTCCCTTTATTCTAAACCCACAAACTAACGCTTGTTTTACGTGTCAATAGATCTGAAATGTTTGAAAAATGTAAATGCAAAATGCACACTTTCTGCAGTATAGAAATTAAGGACAGAAATAAATATACCACAGAAGAAATCCTTAACGGGAAAACAGCCGTGCAATCCTGACACATGTGGTATACCTGTTTTCAAAAGCAGTGTGTCTAAATATTAATGCCCAAAATAAAGATGCATTACTTGGCGCGTTCCCTGTCCACAGTGCACTCTGTAACTGCTTGGATAGCCTATTCTGCAAAAAGGCAGAGGCAGCCACTGATCCTCAAGTGCTCTGAAATGGTTAACTAGGTTGGTGAAAATTTAGCATGTTTAGGAAATTACTTGTCTGATTCGGCTTAGAGCACATATCAAACATGAATTTCCGAGAGCATCCTTCCAGCCCTGACCACGTCTTTCAGCTCCAGATGAACTCAATTTTTTTTCCAAGTGTTATTTTCTTTACAGTATTCTATGGAAGCAATGGTTGCTAAGAGACCCCAAAAATCAGTAGAAAACCCAATTAAGTAACAAATAGAGAAGCTATTTCTAACCAACTCGCCAAAAGCACTTCTCTGATGGGGACTAAATCCAAGAACAGACGAGGGTGAAATCTATGACAGACACAAGCCCATCCCCCCTCTTTGTCCTCTGCTTGACTTCTATATCAAATCTTAAGCGTTATACAGCATTTTGTACTTTAAGTAGCTTCAGAATGTAAAGAAAGCTAATTGCAAGACTTAAGCGAACCAAAATCGTATTTTCACAGATAAGGTGACCAAAAAAAATATTAATCCTGTTTATTCTCAAGCAATGTTTAATACCAAAAGAAATAACATAAAGACAAATGTCCCCAGACATGATAAGAGTGTAATTCCAGACAACAGTTATTGTTGAGATAATTCTCCAAATTTAAACGCGACTATAACTACTTTAACCAGTAAATACAATAATAAGGCTAATCATTTTGTGATTTGATAATTACGTGTCAAATGCAGCGAAAGCCGCAAGATAATTAGGTAAAAACTGAATCATAATCCAGAATATCCTTCCTGAGGGAAAACAAGCTAGAGATATTCCTGATCACTCTGAAGAGAATAAAAGAGCAGGAAATCTTGGCTTTTAAGGAACTCTTCATCTCAGAGAAGGAACATTAAAACGTTGGGAG